GCATGGTGGCTCCATGCCTGCTGTAATCCCAGCAATTTGGGATGCCAGGATGGGCAGATTCCTTGAGCTCAGGAGTTTGAGACCAGCCTAGGCAACACGGTGAAACCCCATCTCTACAAAAAAAAATACAAATATTAGCCAAGTGTGGTGGTGTGTCCCTGTAGTCCCTGCTACTCAGGAGGCTGACGAACGAGAATCGCTTGAACCCATGAGGCAGCGGTTGCAGTAAGCCGAGATCGTGCCACTCCATTCCAGCCTGCGTGACAGAGTGAGACCTTGTCTTAAAGAAAAAAAAAAAAAAGAAAAGTAAAAAGTACTTTTAGAGACATACTGTAATACTTATGGGTGAAATGATATATCTAGAATTTATTTCAAAATGACCTTCAATAAATGTGATTCACCACATAAACAGAATTAAAAAAAAAACCATATGATCATTTCAATAGATGCAGAAAAAGCTTTCAATAAAATCTACCATCATTTCATGATAAAAACCTTTCATTGACTAGGCATGGAAGGAACAAATCTCAAAAATAATAAGAGCCATCTATGACATACCCACAGCCAACATCATACTTAATGGACAAAAACTGGGACTATTCCCCTTGAGAACTGGGACAAGACAAAGATGCCTTGTCCTATTCTCACCACTCCTATTCATCATAGTACTGGTCATAGTACATAGTCCTAGCTAGAGCAGGCATTCAAATAGGAAATGAAGAAAACAAACTATACCTAGAAAACCCTAAGGTCTCTGCCAAAGTTCCTGGAACTGATAAGCAATTTCAGCAAGGTTTCAGTATGTAAAATCAATGTACAAAAATCCAGTAGCATTTCTATGCACCAGTAATGCCCAGGCTTAGAGTCAAACCAAGAACACAGTCCCATTTACAATAGTCACAAAGAGTATGAAATACCTAGGAATACAGCTAACCAAGGACGTGAAAAATCTCTACAAGGAGAACTATAAAATGCTGTTGAGCCTCGCCTGTCAAGGAAAGTACACCCGAGCGGTCAGGCTGGGGTTGCTGTCAGCGAGTCCCTCTTCATCTCTAACCATGCCTATTAGGCAGAGGTGTTCCCAGGCTGCCCACAACACTCCAGGCCCTACCCCCTCCCACACTCTCTTGAAGAGGGGGCCTCCTCCTCCCCGGGGCTCCAGGCCTGCTTTCCTGCACTGTTGCCTACCTCGTGACAGTGGTGTGTGGTGGCATTTGTGAATGCTAACTCCATCGCTCATTCCAGCACACTGCTGATAAATAGCTATTTGAGGGGAGGAAAAAACAAGCAAATAAACTAAAAAATGCTGTTGAAAGAAATCAGAGTTGAAACAAATTAGAAAACATTTCATGCTTATGCATTGGAAGAATGAATAACAGAAAAGCCATACTCTCCAGAGCAGTTTATACATTCAATGCTATTCCTGTCAAACTACCAAGATTATTTTTAACAAAAAACTATTTTAAAATTCACATAGAAGCAAAAAAGAGTCCAAATAGCCAAAGCATTCCTAATCAAAATAACAAAATGTGAGGCATTACACCACCCAACTTCAGACTATGCTATAAGGCTCTAGTAACCAAAACAGCATGGTACTGGTACAAAAACAGACACATAAACCAATGGAACAGAATAAAAAACTCAGAAATAAAGTTGCACTTCTACAGTTGTGATCTTTGACAAGGCTGACAAAAACAAACAAACAAACAAAAACAATGAGGAGAGAACCCCTTATTCAGTAAATGGTGCGGAGATAACTAGTTGTATGTGGAAGGATGAAACTAGATCCTTACCTTTTACCATATATGAGAATTAACTCAAGATGGATTAAAGATTTAAATGAAAGCCCTCAAACTGGAAAAATCCTAGTACAAGAAACCTAGGAAATGTCCTTCTTGTCATTGGCCTTGGCAAAGAATTTTTGGTTAAGTCCCCAAAAGTAATTGCAACCAAAACAAAAATTGACAAGTGGGACCTCATTAAATTAAAGAGCTTCTGGACAGAAAAAACAAACAAACAAACAAACAAAAACCACAACAACTATCAACAAGGTAAACAGAGACCCTACAGAATGGGAGAAAATATTTGCAAATCTATGCAGATTGTATGTGTTTATAGCACAGACAGCATTTCCAGGGGATGGATCCTGGGGGTCCCCTAAGTTATTGTGGATACAGAGTCATCTTTTGATGAAAGGGTACTGGGGACATACATAGCTGGTCCTAGGACTCAGTTTCATATGCATTCCTACTGAGTTTTTAGAAGACCTTTATCAAGATAGCAGCAAGGAGCTCCCTGCTGCTCAGGGATTATCTGACTTGCAGTTGCTATTTGTTACCCACGGGAAATGTATGAAACTGTAGAGTCCTGGCTCTTAGTTATTTTTCACAATTGCTAAAATAATGTCAGATAGGATGTTCTGAGCTTACCTAAGCAGACATTTACTCAGAATATTCTTAGTGGTATGATTAGAATTGTGGTCAGAGAAAGGAGTTGGGTATATTATGGAGTTTTGTCAGTATAAGCGATTGTGCCTAATAAAAAAAAGTATCTTTAATTCTTATTGTTTTAAATCAGTATGTACTGAGGGTATACCACACATTAATTTATTCAACAGCTATTTATATGACCTCACATTTAAGGAATGTGATGCAAAGACGTAAGGAATACAGAGAAATACATATTACCTGACATGATTTTTATTCATATTTTCACTCACTCGACAAAAATTTATCAAATATCTGCTCTGTGGCAGGCATTATACTAGGTGAATAGGGATTAGGAAGAGGAGGAAGAGATACAAAAATTAAGATGGGGGCATTGTGCTTAAAATCCTCATAAATAAATCATATAGCGCAGAGTAACAAGGAATATAGGACTTGGTTCCAGTGGTTAAAATGGGTATACTCATGTAGTACTTTAAACTAATAATATTAGATATAGGACAAAATACAACTTAACACTCAGATCAAAATGCAGCTAACTGTTGGTAAAACCACGAGAATTATGTGGTACAGAGTGCCAGGGCTGAAATCCCTTCTCTGTCTTTCCTCATGTCCATCTTTTGCTTGCAAACTTTTGGTAATTAGGGAATCACTACTTTGTAAGGCAGCTAATAAAATTTTACCTCTTTGTAACTTACTGATTTACTCCAAACCTATACAGAATCTGTCCCCCTCATATGAAGGCAACTATGTTAGCATTAATTAACTCTTACCTGAGTCCTAATTTTTCAGTTCTTTCTACCACTCTTACGACTTAGCTCCTTTTCTCTGAATGTGCTTGTCTGTTAATGAAACACTTCAAAAGAAGAGATGAAGAATGAATACAGTATTCCAAAAGAGATTTGGAATACAGAAGAATGGCCTTTCCCCTAGTCGTGTACATTGTTTTACTATTAATGCACAACGTAATACTAATACCTTGCAATTCTGACACATATTGAGTAGGTGGTAACCTAAAGATCCCACCTGAGTAAGGCATACCTACCTCATCTTTTTTTTTTTTTTTTGAGGTGGTCCCAGGGCTTTATTCAAATGCCAGTTTGCCCATGTCACTGCTACAGGGTTATCTGACCTACTGCTGCACGTCGTCTTAAAGAGCTGTCAAGATTTTATCTTGGCCTGCTATAACATAACATGTGAGACTATATACCAAAGGAAGACAGACAGTTTCAGTTACTAATAAATATTAAATTTCTAAATGGAGCTGGACACTATATACATCAAATTGTGGTAACATAACAGAAACAAAGACTTTTATGTTTAAAAGTTCTTACATAAACAGGAGTTTGGGGTCAGGTCATCTTAAACTTCTAAATCTCAGATGTTACAAGAAAAAGCTTCCAAAAAGAAATCAATTTCATTAGATCTTAATAAAGTAGAAAAAAATGATTATGATACTAGGACTTGGATTATAAATTGATACTTCCCCAAAGTGGTTGTCACTTTGACCCTTAAACAAAATTGGCCCCTATCGTGTCTCTACTTGATCACTTAATTGCAACAACATGTATGTGTACATCTACATGTAATATGCTTGCAAGTGATCGAGCACTTCATTAAAAAAAGCATATGATAATTAATTAAGGATAAAATGTTTGTTTGAATCGAAAAATTTGGTTTTTGTTTCAAATGTACCAGGTTACTTGTTGAGCTTATACTATCAGAGCACTAAATACTGTGAATCACATTTTCTAGTCAAATGTAAGAAAATCTTTTTCACAGATTTTTACAACCCTTTTTAGGACATCTCAAAGAGAGATGGCAAAGATCTGCCAATTTATGTTTCCTTCCATTATAATGAAACCTTATTGTAAACCGGTTTCAAAAAAGTTAATAATTATTAGCTTTTCAAACATTAACAAGCATGAGCTGCCCTAAAATTAATGGTGAAATTATGGCTCTACTCACTTATTCACATTTCTATTAACTATTTAATTTAATAATATAAGTATCCGATTGCACATGTGGGGAAACTGAGGCACCACAGCTTATATTTTGTTTTTTTTGTTAGTTTTTTAAAAGACATGTCTATAGTTAGGGAAGCCAAGGTCACAACTACAGACAGAACTGTAGAGGCTAGACACCCATGAAGTATAATGTATTCTGTTCAAATTTTGTGTGAAATATTGCATTTAACTCACCTGTCTTGTTGGCGTCACCTCTCCTATCTTAACTCTAACTTCTTGCAAACCCTTTAAAGCATGGACTTGGCTAATGTCAATGACTACCTGCCTTCTCTGACCAGGTTAAAAAGGCTAGCCAATGCTTGTGTAAAAAAAGAACACCATATATTGTTGTATTATATGCAATTAGAAATGTTCAGTTATCGCACTTTGATATCCTTTTCGGAAAAAAAAAATCTCAAAACTTATAAAGATAAACATAAGCATGGCATTTTACATTGTACCAACTGAGTAACAGTAAATAAATGAGGTGTGGCCACTATAACTTCTTGACCAACTTTCTATATTGAAATAACACATCCAGCCCTAATAGCTACCATTCCAATTCTACAGGATATTTTCCAGTGAGACAAGCTGTACAATGACCGCTCCTTTCAAAACATTCCATACCATTTCCGATTTCTTGGATCATAATGTTGTGCTTCTTCTCTTTTTGTTTTTTAAATTTTATCCCTTCTTGTACAGATGAAACCAGTCCTTCTACTGACAGATACACAACACTGTTCGCTCCTAGATATTCTGCAAGGTGATCAAATTCTGGTTTATTGGCAATGAGCTCTTCTTTTGTAGGAATGTTTATTCCCATGAAGCATGGATATTTAATTGGTGGTGAAGCTACTCGAATGTGTACCTCTTTTGCACCAGATTCTTTGAGCAGTTTTATTATAGGTGAGATGGTATTCCCTCTCACAATTGAATCATCTACAAGAACAATTCTTTTGCCTTTAAATTTGTCTGACAATACTACAAATTTTTTTGCAGTACCAAGCTGTCTTAACCTCATGTTTGGCTGAATGAAGTTTCTCCCTACATACCGGTTTTTACACAGCACCTCCACATATGGAAGTCCACACTTTGCTGCATAAGCAAGAGCAGCGGGCATAGCAGATTCTGGAACAGTGCTAACCAAATCTGCATCCACAGGTGCTTCAATTGCTAGCTGCTGGCCACAACGGTATCTTACGGTATAAACCATTTGGTCTTCAAACATACTGTCAGGTCTTGCAAAATAAACATATTCAAAGATACAAAAAGCCATTGGGTTTCCTTCAGATCTTGATATGATATCAAGAGTTTGGACTTTATGTCTGGATATTTCCACGATTTCTCCAGGCAAGATTTCACGGTAATATCTTGCACCAATAGATAAGAAGCTACAAGATTTTGAAGATAGCACCCATCCTTCTGTTTCTTTCTCTTTGTTATTTATATCAGACATTGGAATAAGACAACCAATGCATAACAGACGATTTCCATAAGGATCTTGTACTGCATAAATAACATCTCTGTACATTATAAGCAGGGAGTATGCTGTGGATGCTTCCTTCATCAAGTTTTTAATCCTTGCTACCCATTCTGGGGTGTCATCTTGTTCCTGAAGAGGAGTATACGCCAGTAACTGGGTAATCATTTCACTATCAGAACTTGTGGACAGACCAATACCATGACACAGAAGCTTTTTCCTTAATCGAGCAGCATTTACCAATTCACCATTATGTGCCATAGCTATCTTCCCATGAAGCGTTTCAACAACAAAGGGCTGACAATTTTTAATTCACACTTTGCTGTAGTGGCATGCCTTGTGTGTCCAATTCCAAGATTTGAAACATACAATTTTTTCAAATTGTCTTCAGTAAAGACGTGATTTACAAGACCCATTCCCTTGTGTGATTTGAATGTTGGCACTGAACTGCCGTCACTAGTCACAATACCAGTACTCTCCTGACCCCGGTGCTGCAGCGCCACGAGTCCCAGAGTGATCACATGTGATACATCCAGCTGCGTGGGCCACTCTCCTGAGGCGATGCACCCAAACACGCCACATTCCTCTCGGATCCCCAACTCTTCCAGCTCCATGTCGCCACCAAAAGCACGTGGAGGGATCTGCCGCTGCGGCCAAGGTTAAAGGACCAACCCACCTCCCTCATCTTAAAGTCAGTCATTTTAATTTCTCCAGCTCAGTGAAGAACTTTATCTTTGTCAACTTGAATTTTTCTACCTGCTCTTAAATCATCTCTCTAGGAATTTCTGTAGGAGAAAATAAGTTTTCTGCTACATTTCCTTTGGCTTCTGCATCTCTCTTTCAACTGACTCTCTCTTCTCAACCTATTTCCAGGTTAAAAATTTGCCACGCTTCTCCAAGTGTAAAAATACCTTTCATTGATCCTATGTTTTATTCCAGATGATTTCATATTTCTCTCTCTTTCCCTCTGTATTTCTCTTCAGCATTAATGTACATTAAGAGTCTGTCCTGCCCTCTTCTCCTTTCCACCCTACCTCATCCCATATGGTTTCCAAATAAGCATCCTTTCTTTGGTTTTCACTGTCCATTAAATATGTGCTGCTAAGTCTGAAAGCAGCAGCCTCATTTCTGTCCTCTTTTCAATTCCATATTAAATTGCTTACATAGAATGAGGGGTCAAGCTCACTGGCAGGCTAACAAACGTCCTTGTGATTTGACCTTATATACCCTATACCTTGTGCTGTAGTAATGTTTTATTGCTTGTAATTTTCTTGAACTTATGTCATTTTGTGTCTATGCTTTTGTCAGTTTTCCTCTCAGTTTTGCCTCACTCTGTCTTTGTAGACTTGTGTGTAGGCATTTTTATCTCCTGCGAAGTCTTCTCTGACAGTTACTTACTTCCTCCTCTGTATTTCTCATTCTTCTTCTTTTTTTAAAAAAATAAATCTGCAATACTCAAAAGTATTTTCATTCTTATATATCCATCTGTCATTGTAGTTATCACATTATTTTGTAAATATCTATTTGTCTTTCTAACTAACTTGTGAGTTCTTTACAGCCAGGAGCTATGTCTTATTGGTTTTGCTATTTTCGGTGCCTAGCATGCTTCCTGGCACATAGTGTGTTCTCACTGAATATTAAATTGAACTGAACTAGTTAATCTTGAGCTTGTTGAAATAAGAAGGCAAAGATATGATTGGGTCTTTGGATCTTGATTTTGTCATCAGAATGTAGCTGTTTTAGCTTTGCGTCATTTTATATATAAACAAACATTAGTTTGTTAACGCTATCTGAGTGTTCTGAGATTTGAGACTCTGTCATATTCATCTCTGTATTACTAGTACCTAATACGTTGCCTAGTAAATGTCACAGTGTCAGTACTTACTGAAATGGGGCAAATGAAGTTGAAATCAGATGTAAGCATTCATGCTGCAAATATACCGTATCAGTAGTAGCATTCATAATTACTTGTGTATATTACCTTTAATAATAAATCAGGTCAGGCACGGTGGCTCATGCCAGTAATCCCAGCACTTTGGGAGGCTGAGACAGGAAGATCACTTGAGGTCAGGAGTTGGAGACAGCTTGGCCAGCATGATGAAACCCCATCTCTACTAAAAATAAAAAACATTAGCTGGGGACGTGGTGGTGGGTGCTTGTAATCCCAGCTACTTGGGAGGCTGAGGCACAAGAATTGCTTGAACCTGGCAGGTGGAGGATGCAGTGAGCCGATACTCTGCTACTGCACTCCAGTGCCTGAGTGACAGAGTGAGACTCCATCTCAAAAAAAAAAAAAAAAGAAAAAAGGGTAAGTCAGGCCAGGAATGGTGACTCATGCCTGTAATCCCAGTACTTTGGGAGGCTAAGGCAGGAGTTTGAGACCAGCCTGGGAAATATATGTTATATTCTTGACATGCTAGTCACGTTATTCATCATAATGAATTCATGGTGATTTCTAATAATCATCCTTCCTAGAAAAAAATGTATAGGCCAACATCTTTATCAAAATTTTGGCATGAATTGATGGCAGTGTACAAAGTTTGTAATTATCTTGATTTTTCTATTTTTCCCTGTTTTGAAATTCGACCATTTGTCCTATTTTTAAAAATTCCCAAAGATTTCTTGTTGGTTATATGGATTTTATTGCCACATTTTTCAGTACCTTTGCAGTTAGTTGGTGTAAGACATAAATTTACAAATTGAAGAAGCTTAGTGAATACCAAGTAGGTTTAATACAAAGAAAATCACATGTCGGAACATCATAGTCAAACTGCTGAAAACCAAAGATAAAGAGAAAAATCTTAAAACCATCCAGAGGAGGGGGAAAAACATTCATGAATAGAACAATGACAAGAGTGATAGCCAATGTCTAATCAGAAACAGTGGAATCCAGACTTTATTTCAACACTTTAAAGTGTTGAAAGAAGAAAATATCAACAAAAAAAACAATAGAATTTTATATTCAGCAAAATTATCCTTCAAAACTGAAAGTGAAGACCTTAACAAAATTTTTAAAGTTACTTATTTATTATTATTTTTGAAACAGGATCTCACTTTGTCACCCAGGCTAGAGTGCAGTGGTATGAACATGGCTCATTGCAGCCTTAATCTCCTGGGCTCACATGATCCTTCTACTTGAGCTTCTTGTGAAGCTGGGACCACAGGTGTACACCACCATGCTTGGCTAATTAAAAATTTTTTTTTCTAGAGACAGAGTCTCACTTTATTGCCCATGCTGGTCTTGAACTCCTGGGCTCAAGTGATCCTCCTGCCTTGGCCTCCCAGAGTACTGGAATAATAGGCATGAGCCACTGTACCTGGCTGAGCCATTGTTATATGATAAAATATGAGAAGATTTGTTGCCCACAGACCTACATATTATAGGAAATTATAAAGAAATCTCTTTAGGTTGTAGAGGAATGGTATCAGATGGAAATATGGATCTATGGAGACATGAAGAACACTGAAAATTGTATATATATGGATAAGTATTTAAAACAATATTATGTAGAAGTAAAATATGTGACAACAGTAGGAGAAAGAAAAGAAGTAAATGGACTTCTTTTGTTAGGTTCTTACATTATATGGGGTGTGGTAATATTAACTCAAGTTATATTGATAAGTTCTGGATGCATATTGTAATTCTGAGAACAATTACTGATAAACAGAAGAAATATAGTTAAAAAGTCAATAGAAGAGATATAATGGATTACTAAAAATGTGATGATACAGTTTGACTGTGTCCCCACCCAAATCTCAACTTGAATTGTATCTCCCAGAATAACCACATGTTGTGGGAGGGACCCCAGGGGGAGGTAATTGAATCGTGGGGCCTGGTCTTTTTCTTGCTATTCTTGTGAAAGTGAGTAAGTCTCACGAGATCTGATGGGTTTATCAGGGGTTTCCGCTTTTGCTTCCTCATTTTTCTCCTGCCACTGCCAGTATCTTTTGCCTCCTGCCATGATTCTGAGGCCTCCCCAGTCAATTTAACCTCTTTTTGTTCCTTATTTTGGGTGTGTCTTTATCAGCAGCTTGAAAACAAACTAATACAGTAAATTGGTACCAGTACAGTGGGGTGTTGCCGAAAAGATACCTGAAAATTTGGAAGCAGTGTTGGAACTGGGCAACAGTGGTTGGAACAATCTCAAGGGCTCAGAAGACAGGAAAATATGGGGAAGTTTGGAACTTCCTAGAGACTTGTTAAATGGCTTTGACAAAACTACTGATAATGATGCGAACAATAAGGTCTAGGCTCAGCTGGTCTCAGATGGAGATGAGGAACTTGTTAGGAACTGGAGCAAAGGTGAATCTTGTTATGTTTTAGCAAAGGGACCGGTGGCATTTTGCCCCATCCTAGAAATTTATGGAACTTTGAACTTGAGGGAGATGATTTAGGGTATCTGGTGGAAGACATTTCTAAGCAGCAAAGCATTCAAAAGGTGACTTGGGTACGGTTAAAAGCATTCCATTTTAAAAGGGAAACAGCATAAAAGTTCAGAAAATTTGCAGCCTGATGCAGTAGAAAAGAAAAACCCATTTTTTGAGGAGAAATTCAAGTTAGCTGCAGAAATTTGCATAAGTAGCAAGGAGCCTAATATTAATACTCAAGATCATAGGGAAAATGTCTCCAGGTCATGTCAGAGACCTTCATGGCAGCTCCTCCCATCACAGGCCTGGAGACCCAGGAGGAAAAAGTGGTTTCTTGGGCTGGGCCTAGGCGTACTGTGTGTAGCCTAGGGACTTGCCCTGTGTTCCAGCCACTCCAGTCGTGGCTGAAAGGGGCCAACATAGAGCTCGGCCTGTGGCTTCAGAAGGTGGAAGCCCCAAGCCTTGACAGCTTCCATGTGGTGTTGAGCCTGCAGGTGTACAGAAGTCAAGAACTGAGGTTTAGGAACCTCTGCCTAGATTTCAGAAGATGTATGGGAACACCTGGATGCCCTGGCAAAAGTTTGCTGCAGGGGCAGGGACCTTATGGAGAACTTCTGCTAGGGCAGTACAGAAGGGAAATGGGGGGTTAGAGCCCCCACACAGAGTCCCTGCTGGGCACTGCCTAGTGTAGCTGTGAGAAAAGGGCCACACCCCAGAATTGCAGATCCACTGACAGCTTGCACCCTATGCCTGGAAAAGCTGCATACACTCTGTGCCAGCTCATGAAAGCAACCAGGAGGGAAGCTGTACCCTGCAAAACCACAGGGGCGGAGCTGCCCAAGACCATGGGAACCCACCTTTTGCATCAGCATGACCTGGATGTGGGACCTGGAGTGAAAGGAGATCATTTTGGAGCTTTAAAATGTAAATGCCCCACTGGATTTCAGACTTGAATGGGCCCTGTAACTCCTTTGTTTTGGCCAATTTCTCCCATTTGGAATGGCAATGTTTACCTAATACCTGTACTCTGATTGTATCTAGGAAGTAAGCAGCTTGCTTTTGGTTTTACAAGCTCATAGGTGGAAGGGACTTGCTTTGTCTCAGATGAGACTTTGGACTGTGGACTTTTGGGTTAATGTTGAAATGAATTACGACTTAGGGGACTGTTGGGAAGGCATGATTGGTTTTGAAGTGTGAGAACATGAGATTTGAAGGGGCCAGGGGTGGAATGATATGGTTTGGCTGT